CAGATTGCAAGTCTAGTGCCCTAACCACATGGCCATGCTGGGCCCAAAAATTCAATGTAACAGTGTGGCATTCTCAGGTGCACTGAAATGCCTTTAGAGTAATTAAGTAGGTTACGCAGAGGAACAGGAGGTCCGCCAGAAAATGTATTACAAAGAACATATGAATTATCCAGTCTCGACTCTGTTCGAAGTAAATAACCTTTCTCAAGTTATTAATTTTTTCTCATTAAAATTGACGTATTAACTTTAGGAAGCTTTCCTTTTTATGATCTTTTATGGCGTTTTAATGTGAACAGTTCCTGGTATTTTGTTGTTTTTGTGCTTAAACTGAACAGTTACTATTAGTTTTTTCGTCTTCAATTAAACATTATTATTGATAGCTTTTCCACACTGGTGTTAATTGTATTGCTGGTAGTTCTATTTATTTTTTAACTGAACGGTATGACTGTTGTTTCTTAAGCTGAATTTGCATTAACCTTTGACCTTCTAGTTTTCATCTCTTTTTTTTTTAAATTGTTACTCCATGTCATTGTAACTTGTTCCTTTCTTCCTCTTTCCAGGTTTAATATTCTTCACTTTCAGTTCAAGTACCTTTCTTTTGAAAGTTTTATCAAATAGTTGCCCCTACTATTCCAGATATATCCTAAAATTATTTAGTTTAATATATCCATTTCTTTCCACTTTATGATACTTTCAACAAGGATTTATCCTCCATCAACACTACCACCTTCCATGTTCTCGTTTAAACTACCTTGCTTCCCACCAAATTTATTATTATTCGACTGTTTTCAGTCTCAGTTAAGATTCCTCTAGTGTGCCCAACTAATACTTAACGTTAACTTTAGTGTCTAGCTATGGACTTATCCGTCAATACTCATCCCAAACCACCGAGTCACGTTGTTTCAAGCTATTAGACCTGCAACTTTATACTTAACACCCAGATTCAAGCATCACAAACTTAACAGCATCAAGCTATAGTCTCATCCTTCAGTATTCATCCCAAGCCATTGGGTCACGATGTTTCAAGTTACTTTACATTATTAGTAAGCGGCAACTTAGAAAAAAAAAAAGAACAAAACCTTTTCTAGAGTGCATGTGAAAATCGGTCTAAAAGCGTCTACCTCTGTTACAGTTTTGGAGTGAAGTAAGCTTTTAAATTAAAAAAAAATTCCACGCATATTATCCTTTGAGTTACAAATATCATATAACAATTCTTTTATAAAAACAACGAATGAAAACTAAAGAAAACAAACAAGCTTTTTCATAAATCAGTCTTTGCACATTTTCTTTATTTAGTTAATTCTAACTTCTTGTAAAACGTTAATTCACTATTTTCTAAAAGTTACAATTTTGGAAGGACATAGGTTCTCCAAAATAAAATAAAAATCCAAGAGATTTCAGATCCACAGATATTTAAATTCGTTGACAACTAAGAGTGAGTAGTTGCAAAATTTTTCATGGTAGAATAAGTATAATGTTTCGATCACTTTCAAGTACAAACAAAACAAATTAAATTGGAATATTATTATAATACTAAATACAAAATAAGCAAGGCACGTGTGTAGAATTAAATGCGAAAGAACGTGCTATCTTTAAAAAATTCGTGAAAAATTATATGCTAAGATAATAATTGTTTGTTTGTTTTTTAATTTCGCGCAAAGCTACACGAGGGCTATCTGCACTAGCCGTCCCTAATTTAGCAGTGTAAGACTAAAGAACGAAACGATAATAATCACACTTTGGGGTCGGGGGTACGTTATGAGTGAGGCCAAATCCCATTATTCGGCTTGACACGAGTAGTCCAAGAGTTGGTGGTGGATGGTGCCGACTAGTTACAAAATTAGGGACGTCTAGCGCAAATAGCCCTCTTGTAGCTTTGCGCGAAATCCAACGAACAAACTTTGCCCTAAGCACTTTTTTTTTACGAAACTCAAGCAATGATAGTTTTTCGATTGTTTCAAAGCCACTGATTATCGTTTTCAGAAAGAAAAATATGAGAGGAAGTCAACGGGTATCTTAAAAGTTATTTTGAGCTTTTTTGTTAATTTTAATTTTCTTCCTCAGGATTTTTTGAATCTATAATGATTTCAGTTACTCCTAAATCCTTATTATTACCCTGTCGCATTACTTTACATTGCATAAAACAGTTAAAGATTAATTGGAGCTTATAATGCTATAGTTATGACAAGGTAAACATTGCTGTTATAAAAGTGTCAGTCATTCCACTCATGCACACCAGGCGTCTAACCATTGGTGATTCCACTAATGTTCATAAATGAACATTTGGATTTGGTTTAGTTTGTTTGGAATTGCGCGCAAAACTACACAAGGGTTATCGGCGCTAGCCAACCCTAATTTAGCAGTGTAAGACTAGAGGGAAGGCAGCTAGTCATCACCACCCACCGCCAACTATTGGGCTACTCTTTTACCAACGAATAGTGGGATTGACCGTCATATTATAACACCCCCACGGCTGAAAGGGGCGAGCATGTTTGGTGGGACAGGGATTCGAACCCGCAAATTGTGAGTTGAGCGCCCTAACCACCTGGCCATCCCGGGCCCGATACATACATAAATCAATCAATAGAATATTCTTTCTTTTATTAATGATATTTTATTCATTACTATAGCTAAACACGTTACATCAGAATGGTCATTCGTGGCTAGATTTTTTTTCACTAACTAAAGGTTTGTTTGTAATTAAGCACAAAGCTACACACAATGGGCTATCTGTGCTCTGCCCACCACGGGTATCGAAACCCGGTTTCTAGCGTTGTTAGTCCGCAGACATACCGCTGTGCCCCTTGGGGGGGGGGATTACCGATTGGAATTGGTGAAGTGGTTATTTACTTACGATACATACATAAATCAATAAATGGAATATTTGTGTTTCAAACCAGTTTCTCGGAAAACTTCTAACTGAAGTTATTTTATACTAATTAAGAAGGATGATGATAATTTGTTGTGTTTTATTTAAAGATTTAACGACCCTGACTCTCTAATTAATTTCGTAGGCAATATGGTTGGTGCTTATTAAAATCAGTTACGTTACGAAACTTCTCTAGGCACACCCAGCAAAAGTGAGTTTGACATTTACTACAAAACATGTGGTTACACCCCTCGTTCTTTTCGATGGGAGCCTTACACGATGGACACAGTTTTCTGTTCGAAGCGTCTTTCGCCATCCAAACCTAGAAACAGGAAAGACCAGGAAAACAACAAACTTTAGTAAAATACAAAAATATATATACTATTCTTTCTCCAAAGAATCTCCGCGAATTTGGTGAAAAAAAATAATTCAAATCATATTTAATTGCCAATTATTTTAAGAGTAATTAATGACTTCAAATATTTAATTAATTCATTTGAACATATGTTGAATAATACTTTTCTCAAATAATAATAATAATACCCAAAGAACAAATTACTCATTTTCTAAACTAAAACTATTTTTTTTTCCTTTCCTGAAAAACTTAGAATAATTAAAAGAGATAAATAAATAGAAATGAAATGAAAATACAATTGGCAAAAGACAACTAACTGTTAATGATTTAATATTAAAAATGTAACAACCAGTAGCACGTAGAAAACGCCAAAAACTTTATATTAATATACAGTTCTATACTGGTAAGAAGCGTAAAACAAATGTATGAGTTAAACTTCGTATAAAGGGTAGTTTAATCAATATAGTATACGGTAAATTAAAAACAACAAGTCTCAAGTTTTAGTTGTTTAATCAGTACAGTCTACGGTAAGTAGAAAACAACAAGTCTCAAGTTTTAGTAGTTTAACCTAATGCTTCCCAAACCACTGACAGATTTGGAAAAATAAATCAAAATTTAATATTTACTAGCAACAGTGATGCCTGTTTTCAAATCAATTATAACCATAGTAGCTAACAACTATTTCTTACAACTTACTGTATATTTTCCTACGTCACTCAGACAGTTATCCTGTAAATTCATTTTCCCATCAACATAACAAAAGAAAAAACCCTTAACACTAATTACATTACAGGTATGGCAATAAATATGTACACTACCAACATTATATATGAGAGAAAGCGTCTGAGTACTCGCTGCAAGTTAGAACTCCTGTCTCCAGATCATAAAATAAGTCCTGTTGCTTGATGTCTTTATGACAGACTTCCAGGAAATTAAAATACGCTAAACTGGATAACATCTGGCACATGTATGGTTTAACAAATGACATCATTAACGTTTATTAGGACTCATCGTAATGTCTGATTACACTACACACCATCTAAAAACAAATTTCTTTTTTTTGCTTATATTTTTACTATTTCTGGTGGAAAAAGTACTTTAGTCTGACAAAGTATGATGCTTGCATCATATCATAGTATATCACATAAAAAGAGTTATCTCTAATAATTTAGATGTACATCTAAGACACTTCTTGTAGTCTGTCATGTTGCTGACACTGTAGTCATCTTTCTCGTAATGGTGTAAGACACTTATTGGGACAACATCAGGTCCTTGACCAGGAGTGGTGTAAACTGTAGTCAGTTTTGGCTAGTGCAGATGTTCAGGTCTTAGTGTGTGGTTTGCAATACTAATAGAAAAATCAACAACTGGCCAACAACATAGCCAGAGAGACCAAGAGTTTTATTTTCAATTAGAAGAGTCATGGCTCAAAATGCTAGTTCAAAAAACTCTATTAAGTCAGAAAAACTCAATCAATTTGACGGCTAAGACTGTAACTGAGTTATAGCAGCCCTCTGTCCAAAAACGTCTTTCAAGAGTAGAGTGCAGATGGTCAAGCTCAGTGTTTACAGGCTTATGCATGCTCATGCTTAAATTTGCCTATAGAACACAATCCCTACTACATTGTTGTCAATTCTTGGGTGTCGAGATTGACTTAGGTCCAGGGTTGCACTCTGCAATGACACCATTATTGTCACAATGGTCCACAGTTATCCTGGTTCTCTGCCATATTCCCTCCACTACCATTTCATTGTTATAAAAAGAGAGCTTGGGACTGAGAGAAAAGAAATGGGGAGTGAGACTACAAAGCTCACTATCACCAACGTTTCGTTTCCCTTTGCTACTTACTTCAGCCACAAGTTAAGCATGTAACATAATAGCTACACCTTACATGAAGGTGTTACTTCTCACCTCCAACATTCCTTTCCTGCATAATCAATATTTTCATGCACTGTAACTGGCCTTATGCTGGAACACGTTAAGATAACATTCAGAGAATTGCACATGGAGCCATACAAAGTTATGTTTGCATGTGACAGTTTCCTTGAGAAAACTGAAGCCAGTTCTGGAGAGCCACCATTACTTAGATAAGGGTGAGTAATCATCATGAAATGTCAGACTGCTTTACTGTTTTACAATGGAAGATCACTTGATACCTCATAAAGCAAGGGTTGCCAAGCCCTTTCCATCATTGGTTTCACGACAACAACTGTCCTAGCTGTGATGATTAAGTGGTAATTGTACACTGTAGTGCATACATCACATTTCACACTACCATCTGATGGCTCAGAAAGCAAGGAAGTCCTAGTCCTTTCAATCAGTAATATTTCAATTTCATGACCACCCTAGCTATGTTGATTGACTGGTCATTACAAAATGCCATCCACACGTTTTGTCACACTATCACCCACTAGCTCAAAGAGCAAGAGTCACAACACCCTTTTAGTCATTGGTTTCTCAACCAAATGACCATCGTGGATAGCTTATTATCTTAACCAAGCAATCAGGAAGCCTGTATTGGCATCTTGGTCGACCACTGTATCTTTGAAGTTGCCCCTCCTTACTAATCACTTGATCAAGTCAAGCTGATGGCCATGCAGATTCAGCATCAGGCATAGCATTGCCTGTCCCTGAGTGTACTCATTCTAGACAGTGATCTGCTTGAAATATTCCATGGCATGGCCCAGTCTTCACTAACTCCTCTTTCACATATTGGGAGAGATTTTTGCCTCACCTCTACCTTAGATTAAGTTAGTTTCAATATGGGTTTTTCTCTGGTGGACTCAGGGTTCAAACTAGGCTGGAGAGTCCCTTATGACAGGGAAGCCATTGGATAGATGGATTCCAGAAGCCCTGTGATCTGTCAAGCATTTACTCTAACCCCTGCAGCTGCCCAGTGATGAGACGCTGGATTCACATTGTCTACCTGCCCTGCAAACTCCTTGGTTATTTCAAGACTCATGACTACCTCAGCAGCTTGCTTTCCTTGTCAGGTGGAGTCTCTGCTGCCCCACAGATGCCAATGGTACCACATCCCTGATTCCCAACTTGGTAATGGACTGCCTCACTTCACAGAGAGGTTACCTGCAGCTCACCCTATCATCAGTAATGCCCACGTTCTCACTTGCTGGCAAACACTGCTTATGTCTTTCTCTTTCCCTTGAGTGACATGCCACTCCACCCATCCTCAGCCAGTTGGGCTCCTATACTTCCTAGTCTCAGTTTCAAAAAGAGAATTTCATCAAATCTTCTGGGTGCTCTAGATGGTCTTCATTCCCCTTACCGAACTCATGGCAGCAGGGTGGTGGCTTTGAATAACCTTCACAGCATCTGTAAACGTATGTGATCCAGGAGAGGACTTGCCCTAAATCTAACCATCCTTCCTACATATTATTCTACCATATCCCCAGACTCATCTCACTCCAGATCATACACTAGTTTGCCTGTAGAGAAAGCCATCTTCACATATACTCAAACTTGTGAACTTTACTGTAGCTTTCACAAGTCCAGCCATATACCCTCTCAGAGAGAGTACAGGCCTCCACAATGATATTTACGGCACCAAACTTTCACCTTCCCTACTACTGTATGGTATTTTCAGCTTGCAGCTTTCGATCAGAGTAGTCAGTTACAGTCCTCTAACTGGAGGTTCGAAAAATACTACGTTATGAAGAGTATCTCTGTTTATCTGTTTGATCTCTAACTGACTTCATCAGGAAAAAGTGTCAAAACAAGGAAGGTGCACAATAATAATCTTTAATGACTGTACAAAAAAATCTGTCACAATTACTAATACAAGAAAACACTATACAGAAACCATGTTTCCTTCCGAGTATAGAAGGAATGCAAAATGTCACTGCATACTGTTGACTGTACATGAATGCAGGGTTGCTACATACGATGCATATTTTTAAAAAAAACATTTATTTTTTTCAGCTCCTTTCTACATATAGTTCTATTCATTATCTCTTATGTTTACAATGACTGTAGTTGCTTTGAGTAATTCACAAAAGTTATAACCAGAATTATGATTCTGTTGTCTGTATTTTTTTCTTTCCTCGCTTCTCTTTTTAATTAGAATTTTAGAAAAACGTTTAGTATTTCATTTCATTTTAATTGTCTTTGTCAGTGAATTTTTGGATACAAATATACAACAACTGAATGATATTGTCTTTGTATTATACAAGTAAAAGGGCAATAATAAAAGTTACATTGATGCTTTTATATTTATAGCATCTTCATACACACTAGATCTCTAATGTCAACTGCCCCTTCCTCAATGGCTCAGCAAGAAGCTTGGAGGTTTATAACACTAAAATACAGGGTTTGATAGCTGCAACAGGCACAACAAAAATAACCCATTGTCTAACTTTGTGCTTAGAGACAATCAAAACACTTCTTTACTATGTAAACTGCTAACAAATGTCAAAATTCTGCCAGGTCATATCTGTTTGTGAAGAATGGACTACAATACATGATTCATTTAAAGTTAATTGTCCAAGACAGAACCTTGTTTAAAGAAGTTTACCTAGTATTCTGAAGTAATAATAATAATTCTATCAATACCTACCACTAGAGAGTAATCTTCATCTTCTGCACAAGTTTTATTTAACTCACATGTAATACCACTGTGGTAGTGTGTGTGACAACTGAAAAACAAAAACACTTTTTAATTTATAAGATGACATTAGTAAATTCTACAACAGTCCTGTGATATTTGATCACAACATGTAAGTATGATTCTAGATTCTCATGTGAATATGTCAAAGAACCCTGTGCTAGAGACGTAACAAAATATCAATGCAATTATAATATTCAGTGGATAATTTACACATCAAATGTATTAATTCTATTGGAAGTCCCTTTACAAAACCTGCTGTGCTTGTAGCAACATTTTTTGAGAATTTCCCACAGTTATTTTAAATCCTATTTTATATTATGTTTTTCATAAAATAATTTGTACATGAAGAAACCATCAGAACACAAGAACATTATTATAGACTATTACATCTGCCAGACTGACCATGCAGCAATTAGGCTTAGCTCTAAATCTTTTACACTACCGTGTTGATGCCAAAACTTACAAGTACACTATCAAGCTGTATGACCTGGTGGTTAGGGTGCTCAAATCACAATCTCCAAATCACGGATTCAAATCTCCATCACCACACATGCTTGCCCTTTCAGCTGTGTGGGGCGTTATAATATGACAATCAATCCCACCACTCATTGCTAAAAGAGTAGCCCAAAAATTGGTGGTGAGTGGTGTTGACTAGCTGCCTTCCCCTAGACTACAACTGCTGAATTAAGGAAGGCAGGCACAAATTGCTCTTGAGTAGCTTTGCACAAAATTCAAAACAATCCAAACCACAAATAATGAGTAGGTATTACTTTCTAAAGTGATTGTACTAATTACTCAGAAGTATAATTAAGCTTTTCTTTTCATCTTATATTAGCTAAATTATGAACAATGTTACCTTAAAGACACATTAAGATCAAAATTAACATATAATCATAAAATTACTCACTGTGAACATATATCATTTTCACAAAATCCGCAGATAAATGAACCACCAGGGGGTGTAATATGGTAAACCATTGGACAATCTAAAGATGGGCAATAACGATATTCCTTGTTCATTTCAACAAACTTTTTTAAGGATTCTTCAATAAGATCTTTTCTCAGCTTTTCATTGCCCTCAAGAATTTTTTTAAGGTCTTCCATTACAAAATATTGTCCACAGCCCTAAAAGGAAATACAGATTGCTCTAAACTGTTGACACCTTTATCATTAAAATATTTTTTCATTTATATTATCTGAATTTCCTACTAAGAATTAAATTTCTCACATTCAAAACTGGTAAGGAATGTAAGTGCAACACCAAATTTAACAACAAAAACAATATTAACTTATCTAATACTTTTAAGTAAGTCATAGCTAAACAAAACACTCTAAAAATAAAACTTTATTGTGAAGCACCTACTATGGTAGTTATTTGCATCTACACTGACTTTAGGGTTGATTTCTTTCACTTGCAATTACATTCATAAATAATAAATTTGTATTATAGGCTTTTGGTTTCTTTCGATTGGAATATATACAGACAACTATATTCAGAACCAAACATAACATTGTAAATAAATGAAAATTATTAATTATTTTATTGAAATAATATTTTCTATTAACTTCTCATACTTACATATACATCTTATTTCAAAACATTGTGATTTCTAAGAAAGGCATAAAGATGCTTGACTTCCACTGGCATGATGTCAGGCCAGTGCTATCGATTAAGCAAAAAATTAACTTAAAATTAATTGCATGCCCAAGTTTCTTCTAAAATGAAAAAGCACATGGCTTTGAATGAAGTGTGTGCAAGATAAAATAGAATAATCACTAAACACATGAAAATACTTAGCATCATGCAATAGGAATGAAAGAGCTAAGCCTTGTACAATTTTGTGCTTTTTGAGGTAGTTAGAGCTAACTGGTATTGAATTCTGCTCACAATGACAATAGGGCACTATTTATCTAACTAGGCTAACAATTATTAAAATTTAATGTAGGATGTGTTTTTTTCCTCTCTTCTGCCTCTAACATGTTATCTCTGCTATCTCTTGTGGCCAAACGATGGACAAGAGAACAATAATGGTTTTCACAGCCAAGATTTAAAGTACAGTAAATGTAATAGAACTTCTGTATTTGCTATTATGTTTGTGTTTAAACACATCATTACAAGTGATGTTATGATAATGAATAAGAAGCACTGAGTGCATCCACCAGTAGAAATGAATATTAACACTGCTGTTTGTAAGCTTACATAATTTAGACCTACTTCTTGACAACTTTTGTTGATCTTTAACTTATGCTCTTGATTTATCCTCTGCTACTGATAGAGTTTGGTAGAAAACAAACCAAAGCACTGCTGGTGATAACCTTTGATATCCTTTGTTGATCTTTGTTAGTGCTATTTGTAACAATTTTCTTTTATTTTATGCTGTTTTTTTTTTATCCCCTGCTACCAGTAGAGTTTGGCAGAAACAATAAAAAGCGCTTCTGGCAATGCAAGAGTTAATGACCTCTTCAAAAAAGTCAGTTTTGTTACTTCCACCTATATGTACTACATAATTTTCATGATACTTCACTTTGACTTACATGTGTTCATAAGTATTTAAACTTATACATATTTAACTTTTCTATATTGTAAAGACAGCTCGATGTCTCTTATGAATTTCTGTACTTACCTCTGCTGAACAAAGTAAAGGAATTTGTTTTGCTTCTATTTGTAACAGAAGACATTCTTTACAATGAAGATGGCCACAATATTCCAAGCGATAACCAGCTGTTGGGTCTACTGTGATGAAGCACACAGGACATTCTTCATCATCCACATCTGGATGGTTTTCCTGAGCCACAAGTAACCTTTCCTTCACATGTTCAAATTCTGATGCTGCCTGTTAAAATATTAACCATTAACTCTGTGTTTTATCAGATCAAAACATGCTACATGTATAAAAAAACAATCAAGTTATAAGAAAGGGGTCAGCAATATTCATGTTGCTGCTTGTTTCAGTTTTAATATTAAAAAGGAGAACATGTTTTTCTTGTTTAACTTGTTAACTTTTACATCTTTACAGTTTTTCTCTTTACTATGACTTGTTGCTTTTGTACATGTAAAATGTTTCAACTAGGTATCAATACTTTCTGTTTTCATAAGTGATATCACCTATTTCTTTTACATTACAGGTGTTAGAGAGATGTAAAGTTTGCATTTCATGAAACTAACAGAAATTTATATACAGGATGGTACAGAATTATCTTTCGTATTTTAAAATTTAATAATAACATAACAGAAGAAATATAACCACCCATTTTTCAATATTTTGTAGCCCAACTTAAAAGAGCTTTTATTGTCATGTTTGTTTTCACTTAGGGGAGTAGTGTTACCCCATATGATAGCAACTGCACAAGAAAAGGCTCAATGCATCATTTGGCATTAAATCAACCAATAATCTTGTCACACATGAGACCACACCACACATTCATCTTTGGGCTATCATACACGATTTCAATGGTGTCATGGGGGTTTTCTGAGCCCCAAATGCTGACATTATGACAATTCACTTTATCTGAGGTATGAAATGTAGCCTCATCGCTAAACAGTACATTAACTAAAAAAGTATTGTCTTGATCTATGTGGTCAATGAGGTTCACTGCAAATGTCTTGCACTTTGGTCCGTATTGTGGTTGCAGTGCCTGTACCAACTGAAGTTTGTAGGCATACAGATGAAGTTCTCTCCATACAAGATGGTCAGATCATTTTAAATTACATATATATTGTTTATTCTCTAAAACAAATTATCTTTATTTTTATCTTGATTACAACTTAAACATGCTATATTAATCCATTTAAACATTCTGACTTTGATACTAGAAATAAGAAAGAAGACAAACAAAAAAATATACTTTTAAACATTATAAATTATTCCTCTTAATGTATAACAGATATAAATACATTTTAATATGATATGTTATTTTAGAACTAGTTAAATATAAGTTTCCATCTAACTGGGTCACATTTCAATCCCAGCTGTCAAGTGCAGCTATCAACATGGATGCAAAGTCTTACACCACCACACCATTGCCTCATTTTAGATTTCCCATGTGCCCGTTGACCCTTAAATCATCAGTTTGAACCAAGTGACTGTTGACAACAATTTCACACTAAAATTATCAAACACATATTTATATAAATACTACATTTGTCAGTTCCCATTTTAGGTCAATATCTACAAGTGGAAGTTTTGTTCATGTAGATCCTCCTTTGTTTACCATGTTTTTCTCTTTGCCAATGAGGAGGAAAAGAAGAACATACCCAAACAGAGGGCAATCTATGCATAGCCATCCATAATTTCACGGAAAGGCCACAGCACTCACTGGCTAACTCTTGGACTGCTATACTAATTCAATAATGACTGAATAATGGATTTTGACTATCACTCTTATAATGCACTTAAAATCAAAAATTAAAAACATAATTTTTCAGCAATGGGCATTATAAACCCTCATATTTAAGTTCATGAACACTAATCACCAAGCCATACCTAACAATGAACACGTACAGCCATAAGCAACACCCACTGCCACAAGGGCATTGTCTGGGTCTTTGAACTGAATAAAGGGACTGACTGTAACTTTTATAGCACGAAAATAGTGAATTATGTTCAGTATCTACACATCACAAATCTTGAATCCTACAATCTGTAGTCCAATACTTTTACGAAACTAGTAAATTTCTAGCTACCACAAAACCCTCATCTAACAAGACCATTGATGAAGATGAGATCTAATGTGTTTTATATACTTGCAGGAATTATCTTCATAAATATGTTATTTTATTGATCTTTCTACTTGTATTGACATGTTTAAAACTCATTTCATTATACATTATAAACTTAATATCACTGTATATAAGACAGAATAGTATGTTTTAACTTGTATCAAAGTTAGAAAAATTTTAATTTCTAAATTATAGCACTATTGCTAAGAATAAATATAAAAATAATTTCTCACTTTTTCTATGGCATATGAAGCTCCAGTTACCACAAGTAGATGTTTCTGGAGGTCAATCTCTGCAGATTCAAGACCACATTTATCTATAAAATCAGTGAGTCTGTATCCATAAGTTTTCACCAGTTCCTTTAGTAAACCTTTCGGTCCTTTCTGGTCCCTTAATGTAAACACACTGATTTCACAGCCTTCCATCATGTTCAACCATTTATTTAATTCACATTTAGCTAAGGTGCATGCTCCTACAGATCCAAAAATGGAAATAATTTTTGATTTGTGATCCAAGTGGATATACGTGTTTGTGTCTTTTTCTATAGTTTCCATAACTTTTTGTGAATGTGTAGCAAACAGTTTCTCCAAAAGTGGTCTTCCTTTACAATGTATCTGATCACCTTGAAGGATTTCCAAAAAGAACTTTTGAGCTCTCTTCAGGTCATGCAAGTTATCTGTTCTGATCACTACCTTTACTTTGATTTCCATTATCTTTGTTATTTCAATGCTGAAATTGTCATTACAAGCACCAATCCTCTTGAAATCAGTTATAGATTCTTCAAAAACTGCCTTTACAGCATTATATGACTTTAAACAACAAAACATTATACAATTAAATTTTATTTTAAGAGACAATGGAGCATTTTGTGATCCAATCTTAGCTCCATTCAGACAATGTGCAGCATGTTCCCCATCTTTGGGAAGAGTGAAAAACACTCTGGCTTTCCACATCACGTCACTTTCCCTCGGTTTTTGCAACTTGACAACCAAATTATGCCCACTGCAGAATTTCGAAATCAATGAAGTCAACTCTCTTTCCAAATTATCACACTCAGTTGAACTAGACACAAAAGGGTTTTCCCGAATCACAGCAACATTGATATCTAATCCATAAAGAACTCCTTCCAGAGATTTCTGTACTGTTTGTTGCGTAGCAAAAGATGAAATATTTCGAAGGTACAACGTGTTAGCTTTTTTTCTGTCTCTCCTGACTGTCACACCAGCAAAGTTCCTGAAATGAGAAAACAGATCAGCAACACAGAGGAACTCGTCTGGAGATTTGAAGTTTACAAAACCATAACCCTTACAAGGCCTCCTACACCAAGTTACCTCCATCACTGCTCGATGTCTGGTTTCACACATGTTAGGGATAAATGGTCTGACATTTCTTATATCTGTATTATTGTTCAGGGACTGAAGAGATCTTTGAGCACTGACGGGATCGAAAAATGTCACATGAATTTTATTCTTATCTCTGAATTCTCTGTGTGATTTCACTTTTCCAAACGATTTTAGTGTATCAAGAATCTTAACACTGTTAGTGTTTTGATTAATGTTAAGAATAATGGTTCTAAAGTCACCAGGCATTAAAATGTTTTTCACTTCTGAACCACTGCCTAGTATTATCGTGGGTCCTACACCCTTGGGGTAGTTTAGTAGTTCTGCAAAATTAACTTCTTTGTCCTCTTCTAGCATCTTTTGTTTAGGTTCTTTAATGAAATTGTAGAATACTTCCTCTATAACAGAAGTAAACTGTTGAGCTATGTACACATACACAGCTCCTTTATTCACATTCCAATCTATGTGCATTACTTCAGTATTTGTAATGCTTTTAATTTCATTTTTAAACATATTCATCTTGCTTAACTGATTTCCAAGAATTTCTCTTAGTAGAAGAGTTTTTCCTATGGGTCCAAGTTTTACTGGTTGGACAGTAAGCTGTTTAAATGAATCCAGATCAAAGTTGAGATTTTTTCTTTGAAACAGTTTAGAAACCATCTCTTCAGAAACAGTGGAGATGCACAGAGCATATTCTAAATATGTCTTGAGACGAGTACCATAGACAAAAAACTTTGGCATATCACAGTCTAGACAACGAATGTATGCAGATGGGTGAACATGAATCTGATCTCCTGATGTTGTAAAATATCCCAATTTTGGGTGGCCTGAAAATATACAAAGGTTATCTGAAAAACTTTCAAGAATGAGATTTTGTAATCTTTCTTTATGGTTGTCGTCACTGCAGAAGCTTCTTTGCACAGAAATTCCCAGTTCTTTCTTAACAGTATTAACACAGTCTTCTACTACTTCATGAGCAATCTTCAATGCCTTATTGTTGATGCAATTGGTAACACACCAACTAGGCCTGAATTTTTTTGGAACAGCAAACCATTCTTTATAAACACTAAGGTAAGTAAAAAGATCCCCTTCAGTTTGACAAAACTGAATCTTTTTCAGGTCAGCTTCATTTTTGTTATCTTCTATGCGAAAGAAAATAGTATGAGAAACAGTTGCAGTAGATGCAACTACAATTGCATCTAGACCAAATCCACCAAAGATTCCTTGAATAACCAACCTAGACAAACGAGGTTCTAATGAAAGTTTAGCCATCTTTCTTCCAAGACATGTTAGTTCATTAGCTTTCACTGCATCCAAATGTTCTAGAAGGTCATATGCTTTTCTGAGAACTTCTGTTGAGGGAGATTCAACAAAATCAAACATTAAGGGATTGCCAGGAATAACTTCCATGATTTTCAACAAAGCCTGAGAAACATTTGTTCTCAAGATTTCTGGTACAGTACAATGCTTCATGTTCTCAAAGTTGTTTTTGCTAAACATTCGAAAACATTTTCCAGGTTGGGTTCTACCTGCACGGCCTTTCCGTTGTTCTGCCGCACTTTTTGATTCAAAACAGACAACAAGAGCATTAGAATTCTTCTGAGGAGAATACTGCAGCTCTTTCACCATTCCTGAATCGATTACATAGACGACTCCATTGATAGTAACTGATGTTTCAGCACTGTTGGTGGCAAAAATTATCTTTCGTTTCCCTGCTGGAGCTGGTTTAAATACTTTTTCTTGTTCTTGAATATCTTGCTTTCCATGAACTAGTAAACAAATAAAGCTACCTGGACTTTTTTGTTTCATTTTTTCTTGAAACAAATCTACGGCTTTTTCTGTTTCAGCAGGTGAAGTTAAAAAAGTGAGAATGTCACCTGGTGGTTGTTTTTGGTGTACCTGAATGGCCATGTCTATGGAATCAGATAGATAATCCCAACCTTCCTTAACATCACAGTCCTTCCAGACAACTTCTACAGGAAACGTCCGACCAGGTATGTTTAATAATGCTTTTTCTTCAATACCAAAGAATGTCATAAAATGGCTGGATCAATGGTAGCAGAGGTAATGATAATTTTTAGGTCTGGTCTGTGTGAAAGACAGTGCTTAATTACACCCAGCAAAACGTCAGTAAAAATACTGCGTTCATGAGCCTCATCAATTATAATGCATCCACAATCTGAAAAAGTTTGATCTTTGACTGCAACATTTAAAAGTGTGTGGTCTGTCATGAATGTGATTTTCGTATGCTTATCCTTTTTGATACTCATTCCCACTTGGTATCCCACAATATTCCCTAGAGGGAAACCTAGCTGTCCACTCACATGCTTTGCTAGAGATATAGCTGCAATTTTTCTTGGTTGTGTACAAATAATCTGTTTGTCTGCAATCAAACCAGATCGCCATAAATACTGAACAACCTGAGTGCTTTTTCCAGACCCTGTTTCTGCCAAAAGTATACTAACCTGTTCTTTTTTTATCATCCTTAGTAATTCACTTTTTTTACCATATATTGGCAAGCCTTCAGTGACACAATTAATTTCTCTTCCAAAATCTCTTTTAACATTTTTTATGGTAATTTCAACATTAGCTTTCGAAGCTACTTCAAAAGAGGAAATTTCCTCTATCTTTGCTTTAATATAACTAGAAAACTCCTCCTTTTGTTCTACTAACTGGTTCACTTTTACTTCAAGTGCACAAAGTTCTTCAGTCAGTTTCATATTATTTTTGATGTTCTTTGATTGTTTTCTATTACATAAATAAACCTCTCTGTCTTTATATTCTTTTCTGGCTTCTTGCAGCTTTTCCTCGATATTTTGCAGGATCTCGTTTCCTTTACTTTGAATAAACTGAGAACATTCATCAAACTGCAATTTAAGACCTTTGTTTGGATAATAGGACATTTCATCTTTTTTCTTTATGGTATCTTTAACTTCCAGGTTTATTGTTTCTTTTCCAGATGTATTCAAGAGTGATACTGCTTTTTCTGCTTCTTCCATGCTTGCAAATCTACAAAAAAGAATAACTCCTCTATTTGAGGTGAGTTCTTTTAGTTCCAACGATATAATTTCATGCTTAAAAATGTGATTTAAACGAAGAATCCAAAAATTCTTATCAGTGATGCATTCTGTAGATTCAAGAACCACAGTGGTTTCAGTAGTTCTGGGCTTAATTTTAGTTTTGTTTGTTTTAAATTGGTTTTGTTTATCTCTCTTACACATTGCTCCTTTGTTTTCTGTTCCTACTTTACTAGTTTGCTTTACCATAGTTGCAAATACATTTGGTTTTGATACCAATGTTGCTTTTATTTCATTATCAAGTAACTTATATCCATTTAAATATTTCACTAGTCTGTTTGCAGATGTTGTGTTGCTGAAGTATACATAACCCTCAGACACCGATACATTCTTTAAGATTCCATCAGAACTCTCCAATAACTCATCAAGCTTTTTCTTCACACATTCATTTGGTTCATTGCTGGGCAGATTTTCAAGGTGCACAATAACTTTATTTTCAGCTGTACCTTCTCTATCTGGAAGATCCTTCACAAATTCATCATATAAAACACATTTATTTGGAATACCTAAAACAAACTCTTCAATTATTCTATTGTGTATCAAAATAACATTTAGACCCAGATCATATCTAAGATTGCACAAATCAGATGCAAAAACTGAATTCCCAGTGAAAACCACCAGTCGTGATGCCTCTTGTTTCTTACATTCACTACAAAATTTACCAAAGTTTCTCAGGCTATATTTGAAGGGGTTTTTGCTTGCTATATGATAAACTGTCACCTTAGCATCATGCAATTCTTGTAATAAACGACCCTTTTCATTAACCTCATTGAAATCAATTGCAATTTTTATTTCAAATTCTGTTCGCCCTTCATAAAGGGTCTCTCGTACCTTGTTCATAATATCTACAAATGATTTTGAAGTAGGAACTGGACAGGCTTTCATATCCCAGAATACACTAATGAACCCCTGAACACGTATTTCACTGCCCTGAGTGTTGCCATGGTTCTCACCATGTACTGTGTCTAGACTTGACTCACTATCAGAAATTTCAGAATGTTCTACTTTTGAGTTGTAGACAGATAGTTCACAAACATTTTCTTGTATCTGAAGGTCACTTATTTCAGAATCTGAATTTGAATCAGTCACATCATTACTGGCAGCTAAAGTTTCATTAGCTGATTTCAAGGAAAATAGCAATTCCTCTTTAAACCTTGTATGAGTTGGTTGTTTCCTCCCATGTTTACCTTGGCTGTTTGTTGTTAATTCACTAGAGTTCAATACCTTTTGATGAAAAACACTTCTTGGATGTTTATATCCACTATGATGAAGCTGAGAACCCACACCACATGACCTTCTTTCACTTTCATGCTGATTGTGAGAGACAATATTTTGCTGAATTCTGTGAAACTCTTGAGAGGTTTTAGAAACTACAATATTAGAGGAGACATATTTCTCAAGCCTTTCAGAAGAAAACTTGTGATGTTCATTGTTGCTTGATCTTACATAAGGGTTTTGTTTGGTGGAATTTTTTTCCATATTAAAACAATCAGTTATCTTCACAGTAAATAATAGGCTGAAATCAGATTTAAAGACACAAAGAAATTTACTCCCTTAAATTGTATTATGCAGTAAAATAAGCTTACATACTGAAAGAGTGGAATAACTAACAATTATTAATTAAAAGATTTCTATAGCAAGGCAAAACTGACAACACAAACAAAATCCTGCTATGAAGAATGCAGTATTATCATTTAAGTTTCAAATAAAGAGCTTTTAAATCAATCAAATAATTTACCCAAAAATATCTTTTATATCACAGTTTTATTACAGTGTTGTTAGAAATAACTAAAAAATCTTCCATGCATATCATCCAAAATAATTAATATCAACTATCATTGATTGTTTCTGCTCTGTCCAATCATATAGAATGTTACTGTTACTCTACTTTATAAAGTAATACAAATAATTATGGAAAGACAAGCAATACACATACAGGAATCATAATCAATGAGTTATGGCAATTACATGGTGATTTTATTAATTGCAGAAAACCTTACCACAAAAAATACAGATAAAAACCAAATAACCTGAACAATCCCCTCCTATTCTGTATGTAAAACATTTGCCTTACACAAACCATAAACCTTATTTTCATCCTGCCATACAGATTAGCAATGTACAATTGTGGAATTTTGTTCCAAATGTCTTATATTACTCCCCACAAATCAACCTAGTTTTTGACCACCTTTTCACCTTCTGAATTTTTACATATGCCCATACAGTCGCAACAAAATTCATATCAAGACTTTGTATGGTGGGCAAAGTCATGGTTTTGAGCATTCCATTGGCCTCTTAACCCTCAAGATATTTCATCACATTTACTGTATGCTTGGGATCACCATTTTGCTGGAAGATGAATCCTTGTCCACTTAATCATGCTACTAGAAATATAGCAGAATGGATCATGATAGCCTGTACTTGTCAGCAGTCAAGGCGCCATCAATTCTATGTAGATTGCCAAAATTGTTAGCTGAAATGCAGATGCAAACTTGTACTGATCTCCCACTATGCTTCACTACAGATGTTTTATATTGACTACCACACTGTTCTTTTTGTTATTAAATAAACAGTCATTAATTTTTTCTGAACAATTCAAACTTAGGTTCTTCTGTAAAGAGCACACATCTCCAACTGTGCTTATTCCACTGTTTGTGGCCCATTTCCACTTTTTGGTTTGGTTACCTTTTCTAAGCATTGGTTCTTGAGCAGCTATTTGTCCATTGAGACAACTTCATGCTACTGTGTCTCTTCCTATCATCTATCTCACAAAGATCATAACCTGAAATAATTACAATAACTTTTGGAGAATTTTGTTTTTCTACCTTAGAGCATATCTATTATTAACAGTGCCAATTTTTCTGTACACTCTTCACAATCTTTCAAACAGCATCTTCTGAAACATGGAGTCCTGCAACAATGTTTTGCAAGGTGTATCCTTGACTAACCCAAACTTTGATTCATACACGCTTGTCATGTGGTACTTCAATTCTGGGAGCCATGATTACGTTACACTACTGCTGCTGGAAATAGTATGATTGTCTCTGCTTTAATAGGTTTTATACTGGTGAGACACTTTCTGACTAGTTGGAATCTCAGTGTAAATTATCAACACCTAACTGTACTCGGTTGGATGACAAACAATCTCAGTGTATATTATCAACACCTAACTGTACTCGGTTGGATGACAAACAATCTCAGTGTATATTATCAACACCTAACTGTACTCGGTTGGATGAAAAACAATCTCAGTGTAAATTATCAACACCTAACTGTACTCGGTT